GGGGGGGGGGGGGGGGGGGGGGGGTGTAACGGGACTTTATTTGCCATGTTCTTTAGGGGTTGTGCTTGTGAAGTGGGGTTTGAAAGTACATTTTGTAGTAAGAAAATTATCTATCTGAACAGGGGAGGGGATTTTAATGAAAACTAGAATGTTCTTGTTGGGTGCATCCCTCCTTTTGCTAGTCAATCTGCAACTGCATTTGCCTCTCAGAATAAATTCTGCTTCCGGATTTTTTAACAAGGACCAGCGGTTATGGGTGAATTGTATTTTGTACCCTAAAGGATTTTAAAAAATTTACTTTGTACCTGTTAGATTTATCAAGTTGCATTTTTAATGTATTATAAATGTTATAATATCTCTTGTTAATTTTTCGTTATAAATAAAAAAAAGTTAACGGAAGAACCATATTGAAATATTTTTTATACATTGAAAATGTTATATAAAAAATTTTATCTTTAAGCGTATAAAGTGAGAAAATTTAAATCTTTTAGAATACAAAATAAAATTTCCATTTGCAATCATCAATCATCTGTTGTGAAGGATGTTGTGAATGAATTGGGCAACCACAAGATTGATGTCAACTTTAGAGATGACCATCACGTAGAACCCAAAGTTCCTCTTCTTCGACATAGGTGGCCCATTTGAGTCAGTCTGCAGAAGCCAGCAATCCACTTGCCCAAGTGGCCCTGAAGAAGCCTCTTGGCCTGGATTTGGGGTGTCAATCTTTATGTAGGTGGTCGTGGAAGAACTTCAAGGCATTGACAGCAATAGGGGCCAGTAAGCCCATACAAATACATTGCAGAAATGAAGACTTGTCAGAAGAAGGCATCTGTTCTTTTGCAGGAATCTTCACATGCAATTCCATATGTAAGTTAAATACACAGGCCATGGTTGTACATAAAAAGCTAAACTGCAATCATCTTTACACTTCAAACTTCAGCTAGCTGGTCTATAATGACAACACAAAATAAAATAATGACCACGCCTCTAGAATTACAAGCAGTTTCTCTTGCCCAATCGCATAATCGACTGCAACTGTTTTGTAGTTTCAGTAAGGGTGGTTGTTACCCTGAGATGAGACAGATCTCTTTCTATAACAAAACAAACAAAAAGGTCGAGCCAGAGTCTACATATTGCTGAAAAATTGGCCTTCACCTAGCATGCTATATGCAGTATCAATATACGCACTGTCCCTGTTTGATTTCACCTTCAATGACACATTCCTTTTCAACCCAGCCAAGGTAATTCAGATGGAAAGACTTTAGGAGTTAACCTAACTCGTTATTTGATGGTAATTTCAAGCTTTTGAAGTTTGTGTAGTAACCAGAATTCCAAAGGACAAGTGTTAGGATAGTTCTCTATTAATTTCCTTAAAATTCGTAAGCAAAATTACAACACCTGGGGCCACTCGTATACAACAAAATTAAGGGGCAATGGCAGGAGAGGGAAATGTATTCCTAAGAAAATAACCTGCAGAAATGAGCATGTCTTTAAGTCTTTTAATGAATGAACTTCTAACATCGTCCATCCAAGAAAGCAACTCCAGTATCTCTGAAAATAAGAGATTTACAAGTTGACTGTCCAACTTCAGAATACTAATTGTTAAATAAGCAACAACTCATGCATTCTTACCCAGAAGCAGCCGTAATTGAAGGTAACTCAAGCTTGTCTTGAATCTGGCTAAGACAACTTTTACTACATTATCTGAAAAAGTGAAGGATGCTAGTTGAAATAGAATCATTTGATTCATATGATAAAACTTCAGAAGACCAACACAGCTTGTAAATTCTAAGAACACATTCTTTGATTTTAATTCTCTTCAAACAAAATGACCCAAATTCTGTTTTTCTAATAACATTCTATTATTTAAATAATCCGGAAAAGCATAAGTTGGACCCACCAAATCAAAGGTTTAAAGTAGACTTTACCAGAATCAGGATTCAACTTTGGAGAAAGACCCTGTAATGCATATTTGGCATAAGTTAGTAGCCGGACCCCTCGTGGAGCACCCAACTTTCTCATTAAAGACCTCAAAAGGCCACTGAAACGAAAGAAACATAAACAATGAGTCGAAGGGAAAATTGAGACTTCTAGAAACTGTTGGACTTCACAGAAAAGAACAGACAAATAAAATAAACTTTTGAAAGAGAGAGATTCTGTCATTACTCAATGCGCAATATTGTACGGAATTCAGAAGGTAGAGATTCCATAAATGAAGATATGTCCTCCATTCTTAAAGACTTCAACTCCTGCTTTAGATTCTTTTTCTCTTCAGCAGATATTCCTCTACCAAGTGTGGATTTACTGCCAAAATCATACACTAATTTGTAGCAAAACTTTCTAGGTCACAGGATATGTCATTAACAGTGTCAAAAATAAAACATAAGAGAATGCATTTAGGTGATCGGCAGGTCCTGATGAGTGAAGAGCTGATTCTCAATTCTAGACCATGATGAACATATGCTATTCCTTCTGATTTTTTTAAATTTCTAGCGCTACTTCTCATCCTTGTACATGAAGTGCAATTCAAGTAAAGTACTGCGCTCATTTCTACAGCAAATTCATGACATTTTTCGGGAAACATTTTCATCACATGTCCCGAGATTTTCCCTTGACCAAACTACAAGGGACTTGCTCAATAATGGATAAGAATTAATGACATCCAAACAGGACAAAGAGACGATGAAACTGATAATTAAAAATACTTACTTTGACACCAAACAACAAAATCCATAAAAATATTCAGTTTCTCATATGTTCTAGACTAACCATAACATGTTAACCCATAGCATGGTAAACCACATTAGACGAATCAAAGTCGTGTTAATTCTATTTTATTTCAATATGCTATATTGATTGTGACCCATTGGCCGAAGGGGAGTCCAAGGCCAGCCCCGAGCCAAACGAAGGCCCTAGGTGAAGTCCTTGGATGAGGCTCCATTATTTATGATTATTATGATAATATATATATATATATATATATTTTTTATTTTTATTAAAATATATTTATTAAAAAATAAATTTCTTGTTTTTTGAGATGCCAACTTACTATTTAAATTTCAGTATTTAAATTCTTTAGCATATCATTTAGATTTATAAAATTCATTCAAGGACTAATAGTTAACAGAATAGTAAGAGAGTAGATTTGAAATTCAATACTGAAAACTCTAATGATGTTTATGTTGACAATGAAAAGACGTTATTAATAAACTCAATTTAAATTTAAAGTAATTTAACTTATCAAAAGGCCATAAAATTCTAAATAAAAACCTAAAATACATACTTTTCAATTTGATTAAAATGGTTGGAAACAATATACGAAAGAAACAATTACATAGTTTTGTTATACATGATAGGTTCCAAGACATAAATAGTATTATGATTAATATAATGAATCTCATATTAGTATAAAACTCATAAAAATAAAATTTGACTTCATTGAACTTGTGTCTATAAAAAAAATTTAGGGGCCCAAAAAACAAAATTTGATTTGATTGAACATTGGTCTAAAAGTTTTATTTGGGACCTTGAAAATAAACCTAAACTTAATTAAACTTGAATGTAAAATTTTTAAAAATAATTTAAAGTTAAGCAAATCTAAATCTAAAAAAAAAAAATTGAGGCCCCCAAAAATATTGGGCCCTAGGTGATGGCTTCAATTGCCTAGCCTAAGGGCTGGCCCTGGGGTAGTCCCACATGGATACTTGTCATTCTTCTCTTCTCCATGCATGCACTGTTACAGTGGACTCACATAAAGCCAGGACACTAAGGGCTGTTAATCAAAGCCATTAGGAGCACAAAAACTTGATTGACTAGTTAAATTGTGCACTCTCCGACAATAGCATAAAAGCATGCTAAAACTGTATCTAACAGTCCTCAAAACTATGCTCTTTCACACCTACATTTCTCTTCATTTCCCACAGCGCAAATTAGGGGTCCACAGTGGAACAACTAGAACAGAACCATTGAACCACACCGACCAGTGCAGGTTGGTTTGGTTCAGTTCTTGGACACCTGCTTCAGTATCTGGTTTCTAAAATGGAGAACCAACTGATATCAGTTTGATTCCAGTTTGAATGGTAAGTGAACTAAGCAACTGAGAATACAACCCTATTCTTAACAATTTCCCACTATACGCATGCATTTACTCACCATACATTGTTGATGGAGGGAAAGTACCTCTCCTCGTTTTAGTTTAAAGGGAGACCCACACATGTATGGCCTATGCATATCAATCTGTAGCGAACCATTTTGGGCTTTCACTCCTACTATCTGCTGAGCCTGCATTGTGCCATCAGTGCCCAGCCTTGCTTCTATTGTTTACTGTTTCATATGCAAAAGTGGTATTATAAACTTTTTGAATAATACAATCAACAACTGACTCAAAGTTTTCTCCGTCTGGTTTAGTTCAGTAAGATAGGGTCCTTGGTTTTGGGTTAAAAAAGGAACCAGTCAAGGTCATTCTAGGTTTGAATCCAACAGAACCAAATTGACCCATGTGCACCACTAGGGTAGATTAAGCTCCTCCATGCAGAAAGGCCATTGGAGGCTTCCATTGAATAACCCATTGTTTGCACAGTTTCAGACCATAACCAGGCTTGAAGACTCCCTAATATTTGCCACTGTCCTCCGCCCACAGAAATTAAACAAAGAAGATGCATAAAGGAAAGCTAAACTTTGGGGCATATAATTAGTAAAGGCAGTGCTTTTATAGGTCTTTGATCAATGAAAAAAAAATTCATGACATTCTTCTAGGAGACTTCATGCAAATTGCAACTGACCAGATGAAACAACCATGTAGCCACTGGAATCTGCTGGAAGAATCCAAAACTTCTTTTTTAGCATCTTATACTCATTTAGCTCAATACCCTTGTGCTGTATAATCCACATTTGGGGTATGGATGGACAGGTTTGGTCCTCAAAATTTTTTTTTTTTTTTTNTGCCATACATCCTCGAAGGTGTGCTGTATAATCCACATTTGGGGTATGGATGGACAGGTTTGGTCCTCAAAATTTTTTTTTTTTTTTTTTTGGGGTTTGGGGGGGAGGATCCTTCAAAGAGTAGACAGGTGTTTATCGATCAGAAAAATTTACTTTGTGCGTTCCATGCTTCTAGTGAATCAATTTATACTGATCCTTAGGCTGAAGTTTATGCCAGGAATTGTCATGAAACTCCTCCTGGGAAGCGTAATGCAAGCCATGTGTGAGGATGTGCGGTTCATCTCAAGCAAGATTATAGCTCAGTATCCACTCCATTTCTATTTTAACCAAAGAGTAGCAAAACAAAAAGAATGATCACCTGTCAATTGGTCTTCCTGTGAATATGAGGGGAAAGTATCTAGAGTACTTCCCAACACCAAACTGTTCGCCCAACTGCTGTATCTGGTTTGAGTCCATAAGAATTAAAGCCTTCCAGAGTTGGCAATAGTTTAATCTAAAAGTTTCATCCAATTGTTTATAGATCCCATGATCTAGAAGAACTGCATAATAAGCGAGTTTCCAAAATAAATTAAAATGGTGAATATCTTTTTCTCTCAGTTAAAACTAAAGTGCCTAAAGACATAAATAGTGCATACCTAAAGAGAAACCATTTGGTCCTTCTGAAGAAACCATTATATTACCCGGATGTGGATCCCCATGCACGAAACCGTGGAGAAATATCATTTCAGCAAACACTTCAACCACTGCTTTTGCAACCTGCAATTACAAACCAAGGGAAAATTTCAAGCAGAAAAAAGAAAATAAAAGACATGAGAAAAATTCTTTCCATTAGCATAAGTTGAAGCCAATTGCAGATTCATGAGTTAGTGGGGAGTTTGGGTTTACCTCAGAAAATTGCCAAACTAAGGAAGTGCAGTAAAGAAAATGAAAATAAACAAAATAAATGAAAACACTTAAAATATGTGAAAAGGGATACAAAGTAAGTGTAGAGCCCCCGTATATATAGTCAATGAGAGTTACAATAAGGACAAAAAGGTAAAAAAGAAAAACTTAATAAAACCCTAATAAACTAGGCTGCTGTTATATCTCCAACACTCCCCCTCAAGCTAGGCGCAAAAATGTCAACTAAGTCAAACTTGACAACGGAGTCCCGAAGAACAGATAGAGTGACAGGTTTGGTAAAAACATCCGCAACCTAATCACTAGTCCCCACAAACGATGGAGTGACAATACCACTGCTAACCTTCTCCCGAAGAAAGTGAACATCGATCTCTATATGCTTCGTTCTCTCATGTAGTACAGAGTCAGAAGCGAGCTGAATAGCAGATTGATTATCACAATATAATGTGGATGGAGAGGTCACTGAAAAACCCAACTCGTCAAGAATCGATCGTAGCCAGATAATCTCACATGTGCCAAGTGCCAATGCCCGATACTCTGCCTCTGCGGACGAGCGGGAGACAACTGCCTGCTTCTTGCTCTTCCAAGAGATAAGATGAGTCCCTCGAAAAGCACAGAAACCCGTAGTAGATCGACCATCACATGTTCCTCCATAATCTGAATCTGAATAGCAGGCTAGAGAACCGGTCTGAGATCCAGATGCATAAAACAACTCAAGTCCAAGACAAGACTTGAGGTACCGAAGAATATGATAAACTGCATCAAGATGAGGCTGACATGGCCTATGCATGAACTGACTAACTCGGCTGACTGCGAATGAAATGTCCGGCCTAGTATTGGCTAAGTAGATAAGTCTACCTACCAATCTTTGATAAACTGTCGGATCTTTCAACTCCTCACCTTCAGCAGTAAGCTTCAGGTTTGGAATCATAGGTGATGATGCCGGTTTGCACCCCAACATCCCAGTGTCTGAAAGAAGATCCAAAACATACTTTCTCTGAGAAAGAATAACACCCCTGCTGCTACGGGCAACCTCAATCCCAAGAAAGTATCGCAGAAATCAAAGGTCCTTCACATCGAAGGCCTTCCCAAGGTCTATCTTGACCTGCACAGTCCCAGAAACATCATCACCAGTAATAATAATATCATCAACATATACCAAAAAGATGACACACTGTCTAGAAGTATTTCGTCGAATAAAGCAGGTATGATCAAAATAACACCTGGTGAACCCCAATCGTACGACTACATCACTAAAGCGAGAGAACCAGGCTCGTGGCGACTGTTTCAGTCCATAAAGAGACTTACGCAGTCGACATACCTTTCCAGCATACTCCCCCTCACCACGAAAGCCCGGTGGTGCATCCATATAAATAATCTCGTCCAGATCACCGTGAAGANCCAACATACTCCCCCTCACCAAGAAAGTCCGGTGGTGCATTCATATAAATAATCTCGTCCAGATCACGGTGAAGAAACGCATTCTTCACATCTAATTGATGAAGAGGCCAAGAGTACTCCGCAGCCAGAAAAATAATCAACCAAACAGTAGTCAATTTTATCACGGGGGCAAATGTAACACCAAAATCACGACCTGGTACCTAAGTAAAGCCCTTCGCCACAAGTCTAGTCTTGTGACGATCAATAGTACCATCCGCAAGAAACTTCAGGGTGTAAACCCAGCGATAGCCAACAAGCTTCACCCCTGAAGGTAAAGAGACAAGATCTCATGTATGATTACACTAAAGAGCGTTCATCTTTGTCTGCATGGCAAGAACCCATTAGGGCTCCCGCATAGCCTCCGAAATAAAGCGAGGAACCAGCGTATTTGATAAGGCTATAGTATAAGCTCGAAATGTGGGAGACAGATCACCATAAGAAACATAACCAGAGATCGAATATAAAATCCTGGCGGTCCAACCATAACGATCAACTGGACGACGATCACACCGCGGATAACGACGCCCTAAATCATACTCCTCCACTAATAATGTCTTATCAGGTAAATGAACTGGCTCATCACCTGCAATCTCATCAGTACTAACAACATATGCATCAATATGCTCAACAAATTGAGAAGTATTACCTGCATCGCCTGAGGTAGAGGGGACATCAACAGGGTGATGAGAGCGACGACGACTTACATACACTTGCAAAGGAAGAGAGACTGGTAACTCTGTACTGACAGGAATGAGTGGCTCTAAAGGAGGAGAAATAGATGACCCTGTAGGGATAATGACCAATGACTCTGACTCCTGTGGTAATGGAAAACCAAAGGGAGTATCATCAACTGGAGGGGCAGACACAGGACTAGGAGGAAAATAAGGAATATGCTCAAGAAAAGTAACATCTAGATTGTGATACATACGGCGCCTAATAGGATCATAACACCGATACCCCTTAGATTGATGACAATAGCCCACAAAGATACAACGAATAGTTTTATCATCAAGTTTATGACGAGTAGGAGATCGATTCTGAACAAAACATGTGCATCCAAAAATATGAGAGGGGACCGGAAAAAGTGTCCGCTCAAGAAATAAGACTTGTAAGGGAGCCTTATGCTGAAGAACACGACTCGGCGTATGATTGCACAGAAAGGTAGAAGTTAAAACAGCAAAATGTCAATAAGATTTTGGTACCCTCATGCCTCTAAGCATACAACGTACTATCCCTATCAAACTCCTATTTTTCCTTTCAGCAACACCATTTTGCTTAGGAGTATATGGACAAGTGAGTTGCTGAAGAATACCCTGAGAAGAAAGGTGAGACACTAAGGCATCAGACACATATTCTTTGGCATTATCCCAACGAAGAACACGAACAATGACATCGAATTGTGTCTTAATAATCTGTAAAAACTGAGTGATTATAAGGAGTACATCAAACTTTCTATACAAAAAGTAGACCCAAGTACAACGGGTATGGTCATCTATAAATGTCACATAATATCGGGCACCTGACAGAGTAATAACAGGAGAGGGTCCCCAAATATCAAAGTGTATTAGGTCAAATGACTTCGGTGACTGGTGCATGCAAGGAATATAACTGACCCTAACATGTTTCGATAGGGAATATATAACACAGTCAAGTTTACCACCAACACAAGCATTGCTCAAAGCAGGAAACAATATACATAAATATTTAAAATTTGTATGTCCAAAACGATCATGCCACAACTGAACAGTTTGTGACGAAAAATTATAACGACAACTACTAGGTAAAATACTAGCATGCAAGCTAGGAACAAAAAAAGACAAAGCAGGTGTAGGTGCAAGTGATGTAGGTGGAGAAATTGGTGAAACTGGAGGTGGATTGCCAAGATAATACAGTCCATTTTTCTTATGTCCCCTGATAATAACTCCTGGTACTCAGGTCCTGCAGATAACACGAATCAGATAAGAAT